GGGAGACTGCAGGAATATGCTGCAGGAATGCCACTATGAGTACCTCAAGCGTTCTCAAATGCCGGCACATGTGCGGTGAGCAGAAACTGAAGCCGTTGTTATGCCGTCCATTGTCAGCCACACAATGTTTTGTCAAGTTGGTGATACTTACATAGCAGCAAATCATGTGCGCCCATGGCCGGCAGGCCCACGTTCCTGAAGTGCTGGAATGAAAGCAACAAGTATTTTCCATGCCAGCTTGTCAGCTTGTGTCTTGGGAATGTCGTTCATGTGTGCACAGGCTGGCGCCTTGGTATCAATGGTGCACCGCCCAAGTCCCGTGCCAAGGAAGTTTACTCAGCGATAGGAGGCCAGAAACCGTGGACACTGCGTCCCTGGTGCTTCGAGGCTTCTTCAGCAGCTGTACACTGACCGTGTAGCTCTCTAAGTTAGGTCTCAGGCCATCTGTTCGACCCAGATTTCTGTAGACTCCCTCTTGCTGAGGTGGGTTGCCAGTCCGGCAGTGACTGCAAGCTCATTCCACACGACGCTGTTGTCTGGGTCTGTGTAGTTCAAGAAGTACTGCACCACATCCTCGACAAGGCAGACTAGGTGACTAGGCACAGTGATGCACTGTCATCACTGTTTCGATGTGCTTTTGCCGGCTCTCATGGGTCCTTGAATGCCCACGCCATGATCATAGGCAGTGCTTTCACCTGATGCGTTACACGGGTTCGGCCTCCTTACGGGTCCAAAACCACTCAGCAGATGAGGCTAGCCGCTCTCATGACGCAAGGAGCACTGCAGCAGCTTGTCATAATGACACACAGAACCGGCAACACGTGGATGCATGCAGGCCGGTATCCAACAATTTTGACTTATTCGTAGAAGTGGGAAGGCCTGCAAGTCGACCAGGGCATGTCTTCGAGTGTACTTGTCGAAGTTGTCAACTCTGCCTCGGTGCAAGCAGCACCCCGCACTACAGCGACTTCGGAGCACAAGCTCGCAGTCACACACTCTGCATGGCTCTTGCCAGTGTTTCCAGCCTGTCTTTCTCCCCTTCGATGTTCTCAGGTTCGCAACTCTATTCAGCTGCGCCACTGAGCCCTTTCTGGATTGGCGGAACGACGATGGCCAGGAAGACGGCCTTGGGGCAGGGACGCTCAGCTTCTGCACAACTGCCTTGCTGAGCGTTTGCATCAGCAAATCTGCAGCCAAGGGACATAAATGGAATAACCTCATCTGCCGGCTGGCCGAGCAGACACAGGACAATGCAACAGTCGATCGCACAGCAATCTCATAAGATGCACCAGCACATCAGCAGTGTGGAAACTCTGCTGTCACGACACTAGTGCAGCTTGCTGTAAACCGCAGAGCAGTTTCACATCAATGAATATGTTCGGCTCCTGATTTACTTTTTACTCGCTTAGATCAAGCACGAGTTTTCCGTGCCGAGCTGCAGAGCAGGTAGAGCCCGTTCTGATTCGAGTCCAAGCTGTCATCAATCGCCAAGAGGATCCGTTCGATGAGACGAAACGCAAACCTTAGGCTGCACGACTTGACCGTCATAGAGCACATACGGTAGATACTGCCACAGCTTGTCCCGCGGCCTGCTTTCGGCAGTGCAGCATCTGAATAAACGACGGAACGGTAGATCTCCCTGTTGGCAAGTGTCTCTTTGATCAGCCGAGAAACTGGGAGAGAAGCCACGCATGCACGGTGCTTAAGCACTTGGTCGCGAACATGTTCATGACCGAGTCCTGGAACGCACACAGTGCACGCGACAGTTCCCAGCAGAGTCGGACCCTGCCTGTGCCCGCTCTCTTTTGTGATCACGTTCTCGCAGTGCCTTCTCACGACAAGCAGCACCGAATCCATTTCGGTCATCCGAGATGCTCTTGACATAGAGCCTATCTGACATATCTTGATGCAGGTGAGCAGGTGCATCAACCTAGATTTCAGGAACGCCGCCTGGTTCAATGCTTGCAGGTTGGTGATGAACTCAAAATGATCCTGGCGGCACTGCACTAACCTCGCCTGACTGCGACGTATCTCTTGTAATCGGTTGGTTTGTGCCAGATGGCAACTGGTCCGAATGCTCTAGGCCCTAGGCTTGAGCTGCTCTCACATCCCTTCGGCATTGAGCGCGTGCGATGTCCTCGACCTCATCTTGAGTCTCTTTCAGCACCTCGTGATGAACATCTAACTTCTGCTGGTTGGTGACCTCGTCCAATCGGCGCTTTACCGCCTTGGCCCAGACTTCAGAGGTTGCAAAGTTGCAAATGTACCTTGATGCGTCATGTGGAAGTATCAGGATTGCCGGCGGGAGGCTTCTGGATCAACCTGAACCAAGTAGCCAAGTGGTGCTACACAGGTGCTACCAGTATGGTAATGGGTTGTTAGTTCTTCGCGAATGCTCCGCCCGCCTTCAAAACTGCTTTGGCCTGCGAGAATAGCTTCTCCTTTCTCTTGGCAGCCTTGTCCTGTCGGCGCAGCGCAACAGCTGCAGGGTTCTGCAAGGCCTAAGCCTTCGTACGTGCAAGCAGAATCCTTGGTACTCACGGCTTTCGGCGGCATTGTGCGCCTCAGGATTTCGCCGGGACACGTGGCAAGGCCTCCCAGCAAGTAAGCTCCCGTGGCTACAGGCAGCTCAGGCACTCCACGTCAGCGCTGCTGGCAACGCGTTGTGGCTGCCAGACGTAAAGGCTGGGGCACATTGAGCCCAGCTGTTGCACACGGCAGCAGGTGTGACACGTGTCCTGCTCCTAACTCTTCGTACCGGTAGCATCTGTCTCACGAGTGGGCACTTCCTCTACTCGTTGATACGTGCGGCATGTTGCCATAGATGACATATATAGATCCGCAAAACCCCTCACTCATGCACGATGCAGAGGTGACGACTTGATTTACATGACACGGGCACATCAACTTCAGGCCTAGATCCAGCTCCAAAGCACTTCTTGGAGGCCTGCTCATCGGTTCTGATGTTGCTCTCGGCTGGTGGAGTATTTCGAACATGCACTCAGGCTCAAGGCATTGCGTATAGCCTCTGTCTCATGGGTGCGTTCACTTCCTGATCCTGCCAGGAACAACAGTCCTCCAGATCCGCACCAAACTTTCGCAGCCTTCATGGCGGCATTGCCAGCATCGCCGTTCGTTGTCAGAACCCTGATGCACACGCGATCAGCGTCTGCTTCGCATCTTGCCTTTTGCGCAACCTATGTCAGCTCAGCAGAACCACAACAGCCAGGGCGCCCGAAATGTCGTCGTGGCGGCCGCTTGGTTTGTGGCATCGATGGTGGACGGGGCACTTGCAGCTTGAGTGGGAATGTGCTGGCCTGGCTGGCCAGTAAGGCCCTCTGTGGGTGTTTGAAGCGCGGCCCCGAGCCCGAGGCATTGGGAGCCGGAGGTGCAAGCTTTGGACACTCCAGTGGCAGCTGGATTTGGGCTCTCGGCGAATAAACCGCGTAGCGCGGCGGCTGGTTTGGAGCCACAAGATAATCGACAGGAGCTGCAGCTTGCTCAAAGATGCGAGCCTCAGAGTTGGTGGGCACTTGCTTTCAACCAGATCTGCAAGTCCAACCAACACTGTGAGCTAACAGCCAGGATGTTGCATCAGGCTTGCCGCTACATGCAAACGCTGCAGTGTTTGTGCGGGAGATGCCGGCTCATGTCAAAGAGTTCGTTTGCGTCAAAACGATGGACTAGCACTACTGCTCAACAGCCCTTCCTGCCACCACAACTACTACCACCGCCACTGCTGCTGCTGCTCCTACGACGACCACAACAACGACTGCCACTACTACCACTACGACTACTACTTCCACGAGCTTCCCTCTGCTACGATTACCACTGCCACTGACACACATAGGCTACTGCTGCTGCTGCCGCTGCTTGCTTGCACTGAAGGCCTGTGCCTGACCAACTTCGATCGCATCTGCTGTTGGTATCCCATCGTGACAGATTCCCCGGAAAGTATTTTAAGCAACTAAGCACCACAAGTGACGATCGGTCATGAGCGAAGCAACTTGTCCGCTCAACGCGCCGTCCAGAAGCTGACACATATACCTCACTGTGGCAAAGACAGGCTCGCAAAAGAGGAAAGGATCAGGGAGAAGACCGCTAGTTGCTGCAGCCCGGGTGCTTGAGGAGTGCATTTGGCTTCGGCGTGATCCCTGAGCTTCTTCCTGCGCTCGTCTTCACCTGCAGCCTCCGACGGCTGAGAATTAGAAGTATGCTGCCATGAAGCTGCACTGACTCCTTATCCTGGTTGAAGGGATGCCTGAGGATCCATGTCTCAGTGCTGACCAAGTTGCTGCACAGGTTCTTCGACCGCGGAGCGCTCCTTGTTGGAATGCAAGACTTTGCCAGTTACAATCCTAGGCCTCGGGCAAACAGCAATGGAGACCTCGTTCCACTCGACGTCAAGGAAGTCCTCCTCGAAGAAGTCTACACTTTCAGCGTCCTGGGATGAAGCTTCTGGTCCAGCAGTTCCAAGAGCCCTCTCTCCGACCCCACGGCCTCCAGGGAGAGCTCCAAGGCCGTGTGTTCCTCGATTGCCTTAAGAAAACTTCGTTACGATGGAGCCCGCAGGGAACGCGCTCAAGCCGGGCTTGAGCACGGATGCAAGTCAAGATGCCCCATCAACAAGGCAGGAGATGAAGCTGTCGACCTTGTCAGAAAAGATTCTGGCGCCGGTGCAGATGACACTGAGGCAGCTTGGGGGTGCATGTCTAGGGTCTGCCAACACAGCGAAGCTTGATCGGACTGGAAAGAACTACTGGACCCAATGAAGGGCCTGCATCTCCATCACGCGGCTGAGGGAGTCTGCTACACTTCAGGGGGGTACCCTGCATCTGCTTGTTCGGGCCGAATATTTCAGCTTGCAGCAGAGACACAGTGCACTGCACCGTCAACTGTGTGACGCAAAGGCCCTGCTAGGTCTTCTGCTCCTTTCCCAGCTGGCATCTAGAAAAAGACTCTGAAACAGCTTCCTGCCTTGCAAAACCTGGGGCACCAACCCGCACGTTCCAGGAGCAACAGCCTCGAAAACGATCCTGAGATCGGAAGCGTTTCGACAGCTCATCTAAATAGAAGCCTGGTGAGTGCCTCCTGGCACGCGAATGCGAAGTGCCGTTGCAAAGCTTTGAAGCACCTCGCAGTCCGGCATCGTGTAGCACCAGCTGAAGACGGGGGACTGTGGCCCGGACCCAATCATCCAATGGCTCCCAGAGGGAGCCCGTGGGTGGCACAGTGAGGGTCTGCTGAACACCTGCACTTCGAAATATCAGGAGCACATCAGCCTCCTTCAGTGGCATCAACGGCCCGGCCGGGAACTTCCAACTCGAGCGGGAACTCGCAGATGTTCACAGCCTCTGCTATCGGAAGTTGGCGGTCTGGGCTACATGTGCACTCTGGCATATTCACCGTGACCAGAAAGTAGGATTTAGCAGCTTCACAGAAGAACCTCGGAAACCTTGGGTCACTAGGCGGCCAGCAACGATGCACAATTGAACTGTTGTGCTGTCGCGGCCAGCAACGATGCACAATTGAACTGTTGTGCTGTCTGCTTGGCTGGAACAGGTCAATCAATGTCCCTGCCGCATGCCAAAAATTACGGGTTTGATCAAGAAACCCGTTCCAAAAAGATGCCGGGGCCGGGTCGCGGTATCTTGCACCACTGGCCCAACAAACGCGTGCCCGATGACCTTCGGAGGGAACAAAAACAACAGGCCCCGGACCGCTGACCCTTGACATGTGCAGTGCCTCTTTGGTCCTGGCAGCTGCCGGCCCTGGCTGCAATGCTCTTTCTTTTGCTTCTGTCTTTCTGTTTCTGCTTTGAGGCCGAGTGCTGCGAGCGGGTGGGTTTCAACAGTGTACGTTGAGGTGTGTTCTATGGGCCCTATGAGTAGCGTTTTCTGATCTCCAAACTTCTTGCAGGCAAGAAGCTCGGATAGCAGCTGCAACAAGAAGCCCTCAGCCAGCTGCAGCTCGAAGTGTTGCGCTTCGAAGTGACGGCAGATTCTGGGATTGCCACGGTTTGCTTCACCATGTTCGGCGTAATGTTGACCTGGTAGGCTTTTAGGACATTGACATGGGACCCCGATCAAATTCATGCCGCGAAACATCTTCTTGCTCCAAGGCCAGGGCCAGCAGCAGACCCTTCCCGGTGAGGACCACTTGCTGAGCATGGCCTTAGCTCTTTCTGGCCGTGGCGCAGGTCTCCATCATTCTCTATCTTTGAAGCGGCTTTCCATAATGTGCTCGAGCAGAATGCACATGTCAGCCGAGATGCTTGAGACCGGTAGCAAACTATCATGCTGTGTGCTGCTGTTCGAACTGGCAAGCCGAGTGTGCCGGCCGGCTCCGTCTTCTCCGTCTGGTCGTCGTTCCACCTGCGCAGATTGACGCGCGAATCGCAATCCGGTCTTCCTGCGACAAGCCTGCACGGATGCCGCGAACGGCTCTAGAAGAGGCCTGCATCGCAACGCCACACATCTCCTCGATTACGTTGCCTCTAAAATGGTCTTGGAGACCGGCTCCCAGCACCGGAGCACTGAATTCAGCACTTCAACCTTCAGGGAAGAAATGTCCTGGGTTGCGAGTGCAACAATCATAATGATGCTGAAGGGCCACGGGCGACACCCTGACAACTCAGATCGAGGCAATGTCTACTGAGAAGTAGGGTGGCATTGTCCTCATAAGACTCGCACACGCTGGGTTCGGTGTTCTGACGCTGAAGGATCCAAGTGCGAGACTGCAAATGCAGCTGTGCCGCAGGTGAAGGTGTACTGAGTTGGGCTCGCACCACCTAGCAGCATCTGCCCGATGCAAGGCTAGCTTCAATCGTTACGACTGGCACAGCACTCGTGGGAGGCGATCATGGCCAAATGAAGCGCGTCAAGCAGTTCGAGTCGAATGGACAGACCCGGTCCCAATGCGACCATTGTGGTCGTCCAACTTCGGTCCCAGGGACCTTGCTCCTTCCATCTTCCCCGACCCAGTGGTTGTAGCCAGTCAAGGACTAGTTGCTTGCGCACTTGCTTCGGCGGAGTTACGAGTAGTCAGCTTGCACCTGGTCTTCCAGCCCCTATACAACCAAGACATGGCCCTCCATCCAAAACAAGGGCGAAGGGGTGCTTGGCTTCTCAAGCGCCCTACATCGGAGCGTGTGGCCAGGAAGTAGGACCGGGCCACCCGCCACCCTAGCCCCTAGATCGCAAACAGCCTTTCTTTGGCATCCCATTATCCCGTATCTTTGTCGGGAAAACCTACTGTCGGTCGGATCGACCAGAGCGATGTGGCTCCTTTCTCGTGTCACGGCGAAGACCATGTGAGTGCATATTCTCCCCTTCAGATCTGCTTAGAAATGCCTGCAGGGCTGGTTGTGCAAAGTCTGAGGGTCTCGCCGGTGCCTGAAAATCAGAAAGGGCAACCTGCAGTGCATGCATGATGTCATCCGTTGCAGTTTAGTGCTGCTTTGTCCGTCAGCGGAGGAGAAAGAAGTAGAGTGAAGTTCCAAACTGCAGCTTCGTTGCGCTGACATCATCAATGTCAAGCTTCACGTCCAACCGAAACCTTGCATGCATCAACATGCAGAAATCGAACCGGCAGCCGGCAGTGATTGCGTGTCTAGGTTGCGGCTGCTTCTGCTGCGCACTCTCGAACCGCCTTTCAAACCGTTTGCAGTACGACTCGCCTTTGACGTGGTGGCAAATTCTGTTCTGCCTCGCTGCTGCCTCCACAGCTGCGGCCGCATCTGACAAAGTGCTCCTTCAAAATCATCGCTGCAGTTTTGCAGTTTCGGACTCCATGAAGAAGTCATGGGCTGACTGGACACGAAGCATGTTGAGGACTGCACTGGTTCTGCACACCTTGCAGGCATCTCGAAAGCTTCAGCGGCAAAGAGCCAACAGCACTTCTTGAATGTCCTGTGACGAGTGTCTGGCTGCCGACCTCCCTAATTACCAAGTCACATTTTTCCAGTCGAGCTCCTCTCACTACGATGATGCTAAATGCACTATATGCATGAGCATCACGTGACGAATAAAAGTGAAACAGCCGAACTAATCATGCGATTCGAATGGCATCAAGAGCCCAGTAGCTGCTCACCTCCGGCAGTGTGCTACAGCACAGCCCTCATACATCTACCAGGATGGGTTGCTGAGGAGATGCCATGCCTTCGCCTATCGGAAAAGCTGTGCTGAGATTTTGCGTCGCCCTTGGTTGTTCGCGAGATGGCTCCTTAGGACACGAGGCTCGACGTGGCCCAGCGTTCAATAGTTGCGCGGTGCGTCATGAACAACATGCAGCCGCGACACAGAATCGCCGGCTCCAATACATCTGTCAATTCTTCTTGCGGCAGATTCCGATAGAACTTGACAAAATCCTGTGCATATGTCTTCAGGAACTTGTGGGAGGCTGGAAACCTTGGCAGGGCCATGCGCGCCGCAGGGGTTGCGTAAGTCTGCCTCAGGCTGTCTTCAGCAAAAGAATGGCAACAAAGCCCAGCTGCAAGATGCTCCATGGCCTTAGGTAGCAAGGGCATCGAGATGCGTCGAGTATGGACTACCAAGTAAACTGCCTTGGCCATTGCTCTTGTGGCAGATGTCCTGCTCTAGGCCACAGTTGTGTCCAAGGGGCAGGATGCAATCAGGGCTTATCAGTAGCAGATTTGATTCGAGGCTGGCGGTCAGCTCGCCCACGTGATCCTCCGCGAGCACTAAATACAGATGTTGGAGATGCTTTCCTGTATTCTTTGCATCCCAAGCGCCCACTCGCTGACCCACAGGACGGCTTCGGATATCCAATAGGAGTCACCTCACAAATTTCTACGCAACGCGCGCTGAAACAGTTCCACACGCTCTGTGTATCCATATCTGTTGCTGATGTAATGTATGCTGGCCGTCAGATGTATCAATACGTGTATATAGAAACTTAAGAGTTACAGTTATGTTATGTTACAATTCCGAAATGGTGCAACAATATTGTAAGCTACTGCTGCTACTGCTGCTGCTACTGCTGCTGCTACTGCTATCCGCTTCCAATGCGTTGCAACTAATTCCCTCCACCCTCGAAGAAACCCTTGTCAGTGCCACCATTCCACTGTGCAACAACATTGTCCTATAATCTCCAAAGGCCTGGAAGGAGGTCAGTCTCCTGTCCGACACAGATGCATGTCTGCTGACTGCCGACATGTGCGAAGTCTGCGAATCCCGTAATCAGTGCTGGAGGACGCAACAGTCTTCAGCGTCCTCAGCGTCACCCAGCATTCCGGACTGCTTAGCATAGCGCAGCCTCAGAGCTGCGACAGCAACACTACCGACACTCCGATTTCATGAAGCTATACAGCCCCCGATTATCAGTCAAAAAGGACCATGCATGCGGCGAGACGCAGCCGTTTCAACAATGTCGCATAGATGTGCTCAGACTCAAGCGTCAATGTTCTATGGCGAAACATTATTTGATTCTTACATATTCTTGAAATTGCGTCAAGGGATACTATCCGATGCGACGATGAGCGACGATGGATATAAAATCTCAGCGTTCTGGCAGTGGAACCTTTGAAGTCCATGCTGGTCAGTGTCAGCTGGCTAAAGTACGCGAGTAAGCATGAAGAATGCCAGTCTGGTTCGCTGACATACAAGTTCCATCTACTAACTTCGCTGCGCACAATGAAAACCTCACGAAACAACCTCGATTAACGGCTTCCCTTTGTCGAGTCCACTCCCAAGGTCTAACATACCGCTCCCCACTTCACTTCTCGGACAGCTTCAGTCAGGCGGCTCGCCAGAAACGAGGTACCGCATGTGGGTCGCCGGGGTACAAGCCAAGAACTCCTTGGCGACGGAAGCAGCAGCTCAATGCAGTCAGCAATCGGAGCCTTTATGCAGAGTGGTCTCGCGGATCGAAACAGAGGAGTAAAAAGAATCTGCTGCCAAGACGCCCAATCATCCAAGGCCAGCGTCTTCTTTTCGAAGCCCTGCAGAAACTTAGCAGCTGCCAGCAAGGCGCTTCTTTGGGGCCTGGAGAGTTGCCTGGCTCGCTCTTTCCAGCAAGTCCGAACCCCCGCTGGAGCGCATCAGAGTCTCGAAGATGGGATGTGTGGCCAGCCTCGCGGTGAGGCTCAGGCGCTCAGGTCATTCTGAAACTGCAGCTTGGCGTGTCGTGTGCCGAGGAGCGTGGGCTGCACCAACGCAAAGCCTAAGATTTAAACAAGATCACTGCATGATTTCCGGCTGCTCGAGATGCGCTCGGGCCCCCGCCGAGTTCTGTCTGAAGCTGATCAGAAAGAACCTTTCAGTCAGCCGAGCCAGTCACACCCATCCAGCAGCACCACTAAGGGATCGCCGCCAAGCCCCAGGCATTTAAACAGGAAACACTCTGCTGACTCACGGGCCTCAGCGTCGGAGCCGAGTTCTCACAGAAACTGCCACACAAGATCTGAGGAGTCAACTGCTGTCGCCTCCGGAGCTCGAACTCCACAAACCGACGAATGCGCAAAGACCTGACTCTCGGCGAAGGGTCCGAGGCCCTCGGATCAAAAGAGGATTTCAAGCTTGGCTGCAGGCAGCCCGATGGGCACTGCATTTCTGCGCAAGAACCGTCGCAATTTCAGTGTCTCCCGCGTAATTGCTTCTGACCTTGACCAAACTCAGAAATGTCAATGTGTAACCATGAATGATTGTATCCATCAAAACGAAGAAGGTAGACTTGGGAAAGGCACATCATCCGTAGTTGCGTCAGCGACCCCGTGATGCTGCCGACCTGATTCACACAAGCCGCTTCAACATGTGCGGCTGCCCACCGCGAAGGCAACGTCACGTAGCTCTTGCTTGGTCCATCCAAGAGGCGATGTATGAGAATACCTGCATGGCATGGACAGACTGACGAATGCGCCAAGCTTTTTCTCGGAGAGTTGTACATACAAGCACATCGTGTGAATGCTAACAGGTAAATGTAAGCGGTGCGGGTGCCCAGATTGGATGCCGTATGGAGGTCATGGGAAATACTTACGTGCTGTAACAGTGACATCACAGACATGCTTTAATTCGAAGGGTTTCGATCAAGAGAGAGTCCGAGGTGCGATCAAAGCGAAGAGCACAGTTAATGTGGCGAATCCACGTTCCACAGGATTTGACGGCCTTGGAGACTATGCAGATGCGTACTTCTCCTGGCAGTCGAAACCACACAAAGACTTGCTGACCAGTTGCTGGACTTCCATGGATGCTGGAGTAAACTGGCATAGCGACCTGTGAGTTGCAAACGGTTGCTTGCGGGCTTACCCCTTGCAACTCCTTGCTGAGCACCCTGCCAGTGCAAGCTGGTGAGATAGTCATAGAGCCACCTTGCCCAACAGAAGCTGCCCGGGAGAATAAGCAGATCATGCAGGGGCAGGTGTGCTGTCGGCGAGAACGGTTTTGGATCAGATTGCACGCGAATCTGCGATTCCAAGGGGCAGGGAGGGAAGCCTGAAGACTCGAACATGTGGGACCTACGGACCGCTCAAGGTCCATCGACCACTCGGGCGCCTACAAGCGTCGACCAAGACTGTATGTCATACAATGTGCAGTCCGAGTGGAGGAGCAGATCGGGAAGAGCGTGGGGCATTGATGAAAGCTACGAGTACTAGGCAAGTTCGGAACAATCTTCAAGTCAGGCTCTCGACGCCAGCTTCGACAGTGAAGACAGTTGTTCGTTGTTGCGTCTCACGTGCCAAAAGTCTGAGTCAGCAAGGTTAGAAGCAGATGATATTGCAATGGCTGTTTCCCTGTCACATGTCGGACTGGTAATTTTGAAGTGGCCAAACAAGGTACCAGCTGTCTCCGTGGCCATAGTCCAGCACGTGGGATGATCTCCAGTCTCGCCAGCCAATCTCGCTGCTTAGAAGTGCCAAGCCAAACCACGCACAAGCCTGAGCTAACTCCCGGTGCTCACAAGAAAGACTTGTCTGCTAGCCGCCAGCCAAGGCTCCAAAACATGATTGATGACCAACAACAGGGCCATCATTTTCGCAATCTCGAACCTCACAGGATCAGGCTGAAGCAATCTGGCAATCTCCTTCGCTTTCTTTATAGCTGGGGCAGGCTGCATGATGCTTGCATATTCCGAATCCAGGTAGTCCTGAGCTGTGCTGCATTGCTTGGCAACTGCCCCAGTTCTTACAACATGCATGTTACAACCTCATGCCGCACTGCAGCACGCAGGCAATACGAGCCAAGCGCGTGGCTCGGAGTACTTCCATCAGCCATCGTAGCTTGACGATTCGAACAAGGCCTCAGATTCGCCGAGGTGCAGAAGAAAGCGCTGAAAGCACCAGTTTTGCTTCTCACAGGCTAATCAAAATCAGCGGCGCGTAAGGCGGAATGCACGCAGAGCTCGCCTCGCATCTGAACCGAAAGACATGACAAGTGGGCAAGGGTGATACCTCGGAGCTTCTCATTACGCGTGTCTTTCTGACACATCTTGAACAATGCTACTGTACCAGTCCCGCCCGTGCTCGCAGTCATGGCGAGTTGTCGCAGTGTGTGTGTGTGTGTGTGTGTGCATTTGCAAACATGAGAGACTCATGAGTTGGCTTCTGCACGCCACCAGTTCTGACAAGCCGATGATCCATCTAGGTCTCCTGCTCATGCTTCCGACCCTGGATTATTGGACAACTTCACTCTTCGTTTCAAGAAGTCTCGTAGTTGCGCTGAGATACAGGAGTCGAGCTTCTTGGAAATCTTGTCCCGGCGAGGCATTGAGCTGCAAAATCCTTGGGTCAACTGCCATGGCGAACTGTGTCACCTTGAAAATTCTCTTTCTCATCGGACGAGCATCGACTGAACTAACTCTCACAATCCTGCCAGACCTAGCCAACGGATCCACAGCCTCTGAAAGAAGTACGTAAGTTGTAGTAGTAATTACATGTGTAGGTCCGTGTAGGTGCAGGTTGTTTGTTTGCTTCCAAGTCCTACTTGCTCACACCTATTTTTCGACCATCTTGTCTGCGCATGTGTTCCACTTCCCCGACTGCTCTGCCAGCCCTACATCCAACTTTGGAGACAGAAAAAGTATCGCAAAGACCGCACCAAACAGATTACCACCAAAAAAGCAGCATCTGGACTGGGCACTTTCTGAGAACTCGAGAGAAGCAGGAACGTTACCATGGTCTTGTTGCAGCACATTCCTGAACGAACAGCCCAGCGGCGTCACAGTCCAATCAGGTACCAGTGTCAACAAGTCGACGAAGATGGTTCTCGTGACATATCTGAGGAAGATGGCCTTCGGACCTTGCAAAGATCATGTTTCCAAGTGGCATGGCAGAGGGCCGCATACCAGAAAGAATAAACCTGGCGCATTACTACAACGTCTGGTGGGTTCCTATCGGCATCATGAAACTGCGCAGAATGTCCGCGTCACAGCATTGGCTCAAGAAGGCAATGGTCCCTGGGTCACAGCTTTCGGAACTGTCTCTGGGGCACAGGCTCATGACAGCCACGCCGTTCTGCAGGTAGCCACATGTTAACCTGTGCGCAGCAAGGCAAGATGACAAGATGACGATGCTCACAGACTCGTCGGACCATGTCGGACCAGCATTTCTGGCTTCGCTTCTCCGAAGCATTGAGTTTGCAATGCCAGAAATGATCTTGCTGGTGGCCGACACAAGCTTAGTAGGAATTCACATCATTCGCATTAAGTTATGTCGGCCCAAGTTGCGAGTTGACGACGTTCAGGGTCCAGTACCTTACCGATGCGGATCTAGAGTGCCAAAAAGGTTCTTTACTCTCGGCTGCATCTGGGATGCACCAGGACAATCCAGCCCAGAATATCTGTGGCGATGCTGTCAACATCTTCGAACACCATCAGTGGTAGCGTAGTGATGTCCTGAAGCCCGGCTTCACATGTCGCAGTTTACGCCGACAATGTGCTTCCACGATTTAACTCGATATCCGAGGTTCATAGAGAATCATGATGCCACCAACGGCATCCCATGCCATGCGCTTTGCGCTGGTCGGGTTGCCGATCACATGCCGCATCATGCCCTGCGTCCTCGGGCTAGCGGCCAGAGCCATCTGCCGGCTGAATGGCATGTGTGCTGGCTAGATTCCACACGGCAGAGAGCAAACACGTGAGAAGACTAAGGCCAACGCATGCCAACAATGGTGAGCTCCTCGATGCTGTTTGTACCTGAAGGCTTTCACTTGACCTACCAACCGACTTTCCCCGAAACCATGGTGGAACAATCAGAGGTGCCCCGGATCACTCACAAACTGAATCGAACAAACAGCACACGCGCACACACTTACTTACTTACTTACTTACTTACTTACTTACTTACTTACTTACTTACTTACTTACTTACTTACTTACTTTACTTACTTACTTACTTAATTAATTAATTAATTAATTTCTTACTTACTTACTTACTTACTCAATTAATTAATTACTTACTTACTTACTTACCTATTTACTTACTTACTTACTTACT